ACCGTCTGTTACATTCTGTAATTCAACATTGAACGGGTGACCGCCATATTGAATTTACACTTATTTGGTGGTAGAGGCTTACTCTTGAAGCATTTGTCCTACCAATGGGATCATCATTTACCTTGCTGATTAGAAGTTTTATGTCGTTACAGTCGAACCCAGAGAATATGGTTTGAAATTTAGAGGGATTGAGATGAGGTTTTCTAAATTTTGTGTATTAGGAACGCTCATAGCATCGTTTGGTACCATTCCAATTTTTGGTCAGAGATGTGTGGTTCCTGCAAATCCAATAAAAGTAAACGTTTTAGAACGTAGGTATTACAAAGGCCCTTAGATATTATTAGCGATTTTGCGATTGTGGCGTCATATACAGGGGCTAGACAACCGCTTTACAATCCTTTTCAACCCACTTCATTAGGCTATGAGGGCAGATTACAGAATAGGGTAAACCGCAGTCGAATTTAAAACTTATTTTTATTTCAATAATGGGGTGGACTGCAGTAACACTGGACTCTTAGATCAATGGGTTTCCTATGTTCTCTACCTTAAGCCAAACAGATCTTGGTACGTTCCATGTCCTATAGGCTCCTCAATTATGTTATCCCTTGGACCTCCCACATACTGAAGTCTGTTTCCAGTAAAAGAACGAGTTTCAGAATTAGGCAGAATCATCAAAGAAAATATGGTACATAAAATCTATTTAAAAACTAGTTTATTATGTAAATATAGAAACAGGTGTTTCAGTTCCTTATTGAATGTTATTGATTTGATTGTAGTTCTCCGTCGTGCTGGTCATCTTGCCTCTGATCGTTGTAAGATTAATCTACAATATGAGTGTTGTGTCTAGGTTCGAACGTATGTGACGCCGAAACAGTATATACGCTTCTGGTTGCTTGCTTTGCACGAGGTCACATGACGTCATTCACTTTGTAGTAGGTCGGCGGGCTGACCGCCATTGTTGTAAGAATTTCATGTATAATAAATTTAAGTTTTAATCAACTATGCATCTTTATGGCCATCGCAAACACAACAAATTGGCGACGAGGATGAACCTGAAGAAGAATGGCTGGTAATTTAGTAGGTTCGTTGCCTCCTCCTTCACCTTTTCTCGCTTCACCCGGCGATCCACCGATTCCGTATCAAAGATGGATAGAGGGTTTCAAGAATTATCTAATTGCTAATGCCTTAGACGGCGAAGATGTCTCCGATGACAGAAGAAAAGCAATATTGTTTCATTGTTTGGGTGATGAAGGACAACGAATATTTAGAACTTTGGCCAACACAGATACGTACACAAATGCACTCGATGCCCTCAAAGCTCGTTTTGGAAAACGAAAGTCGGTCATTATGTCTCGAAATACATTTCAAGAAAGAGTTCAACGTCCAGG